AATGACCAGTATGAAGGAACACTGCATCAACCCTTAGAGGGAAGGAATTGTGAGTAGAGAGGAGATGAAAAATGGTCAGAAAATATTTCACAAGATAATCAGATAATGGAGCTTGACCCCAAATCAGAAAGTTGTCACTTTCCTATAAATCATGTGTACTAGGCAGGAAATTTCCAGACTTACGCATCCTTTGGCCCCTCCTGAGAAAGATCGAAGACTTGCCGTGGGTTCAAGTACCACATAAACATCTGCAGGACTTTGGTTCCCTGAAAAGAAAAGAAACATTGACAATAATAGGAGAAATTTCCCCAGTATTAAAAAGTAAAATCAAATCATTTAGTCTAAATCAACAGTTATATGCGGTGTATAAAAAAATAGTTAAAATAATTTTGTCATAGCTGTGTATAGGTTAAATATCCAGGTGGGATGTTTGTCTAATGATAATTCTGGAAACATCTGTTAATTTCCGTAGGGTCAGTTTCCTTCTTTTGAATATGGAGAAGAGATGCCTAGCACACAAAATTGATTGAAAGACAGAAAGCAATAATCTTTGAGGTACACATCATTCTTTGGACATGGAATACACGCTCCATGGATAATATTTTAGGGAAAGGTCTACAGGGTGTTCAGGTTCTCACTACTAGATCAGAATCATAGTGATCCACCGGTTTACAGTTTCCTAAGAGCTTCGATTACACACACACACCACCATGCCCAATCTCAATTGCTGTCTTAGCGCACCCTGGGGGCAGGGCCGGCACAGCAGGCCTAGGGATCAAACCCCTGGCCCCTGCACCCGCTTGCAGGTGCTTTAATCTGCTGAGCCCTTTAGCCAGCCCTTCATGGAGAGTATTTATTGATGAATAAATTCTTATCACCATGACTTAATGTGTGGTGATTAAGAAAATCCAGATGAGGAAATAATGAACCTCTACAATTTACCATTAATTTTTCACTTACTATGTAGCTCGTTACACCCCTGCCTAATATGACGTATGCAGCTAAGTATGCTTTATTGAAATATTTTTTCTAACTGAAGTCAAAGCATAGCTAGAGCGTACAGATTTCATATACTAAAGTTTTATAAGATGTTCCTTAGTAACCTCACAGCTTACGTTGATATTGCCTACATGTCTATGCAGTTTAAACCAAACCCTTCTGTCCCACAGAAGTATATTTTTAGAGGTGTTTTAAGTAACTGTGACATTTACAGAGATAGTCTTTATCCCACTCTAATAGTTGTTTTGAATATCAGTCCTTAGAATTGATAGAGCGAAAAGAGATGATTAAGGGCCTTTTCATTAATCAGCACCAAATGACTTTATAACTGATTAAGATAATTCGGTTTTACCAGCCACAGCCTATAATATGTGGTCAGTCAGGCAGAAGCTGTTGTTTATAATATTGTTCCTTTAGTAAATATCATGGTTGGTCTTTCCCCAAATAGTCCCCTGGGTATAACCAACAGGCTGGACTTAAAGGCCACTCTAGCATAGTACAAACAACTCAAGCTCTGAGATAACCTGGGTGTCCCAACTGGGTAATCGTGCGCTCTTATATCTTCCAGAAATGCACTACAAAATCTTCAATGAGTCCCTACCTTTATCATTAAAATGTACATATTTTTGTACAGAGTCTTACTATGCAGCTCAGACTCATAATGATCCTCCTTTTTCAGCATTTTTCCTCCTTTTCCTTTCAGGCTGGGATTACAGGCTCAGATGCCGGGTCAGCGCATGGTGCAACATGCGGTACCCTGGATCGAACCCTGGTCCCTGCACTTGCGCTTGCCTAAGCAGGTGCTTAGTCCGCTGAGCTATCTCACCAGCCCAAGGGTGCCTATTTTCACTGGTGACGATGGGAATGAAATGAATCAGTCATAGTTACACAGCCAGCACAGTATGTGGCACAAAGCAGCCCTTGAAAACGGCAGACCTTTTCCCTCTTTTGTTTATCTAGTCATTTCGTTACACTTGATGCTGTGAGGAGCAGAGCGGCACCTGTGATTACACGCGATAATGCCAGCTGCAACAGGGACTGACGCAAGTCTTTTGTTCTACACCTCACCTGGGCCCGTAATTTAAAAATTCTGCCACACTGCATTCTTGCTTAATTTGGGGGATACCATTCAGTTTTTAATTATTACAACTAACTCTTCTGTTTCACCAAATGACGTATTTTGCTTCCTATCAAATACCGACATAGATTTAGAGACACAATACTAACTAAATGCTGGGTTATTTTTTTTTCTTTTTCATGCTGGGCTTTGCTATCAGCTGTGTTCAAGGCTAATTCAATCATCTCTTTTTAAGTGCCTAACATAAGAATCATTTTAATGACGAACCAATTTAAAGAACATTTCCAACTGACTTGCTAGAAAATTAAGTTTTCAGTTTTAGATCCATGCAGCAGTGTGAACTGTGGATGTTAATTACATCCTCTTCACCTTTGCTACGTTTACAACTCAGTTTCAGCTTTTCCTATTACAAATAGAATGCCAGGTAATCAACGCTTTTCAAAAAGCAAATATCAATGCAAGGTTATGCTTCTTAAATTTTCTCTAAAAGATCTGAGTAGCTGCACAGTTCTGGTTTTGCTCGTTTTCAGCTGGCATTAGATAGAACCCAATTACCTCAGAGCATCCTCTCAGGAAGGGTCCAGTGCACCCTTCGATAGCACACCCCTATCCTGCGGGGTGCCTCAGCCAGGCTCATACTCTAATAACCTGTGCAGCCACACACAGATACCCCACCACTGCTGACGTTCAGGCACGACAGAATTACTTCTTTTAAAGAGTAATCTTTTTATGAAAATGTGATATTCATGAGGAAAAGTAAGGGTTGAATGAAAGCATTTAAAAAAAAAAATCAATCCCACCTGGAGGTGAAAAAAAAGTTCTAACTCACACATTTAAGTAAGCTCCATTAACTCTACCACTCTTTCGAGGATAAGTTACTTTAGGGCTTTAATGGAGGTAATTTATTAAATAGAACTGAATGGCCTGACAGATGCTAGTTCACTAGAAAAAGAGTAATTTGCTTCTTTCTCAATGGCAGGATTAAACCCACTCCTTTACACAACTGTCATTCATTCGCAAGTCTGAGCTGTCTCCGGGCTGTCACGTACTGTGCTTAACATCAAAGCTGCAATTGTTTGTTGTTCCTTGAAATAGGCTCTTGCTATGTAGTTCAGGCTGGCCCCAAATTCATGGAAATCTTCTGCCTCAGCCTCCTGAATGCTGGGATTACAGGCACGCGCCAACAATCCTGGTTCAAAAGCTCTAGCTTTGATATAAGGTCCAACTGCCTCTGAACAGAATTTCAACATCTGCTATAGATATTCACCACCCATGCTGCTTTTGAAATATTATGCAATTGGGTATTTTTAAAGAGTGAAAAAAAAAATTCTTTCCAGCTCTGGATATTGGAGACGAGGTGCTACTAGTAAATGCAATCCCCCCACGCAATAGTTAGACTGGTACAGAAAAAAATGAACCGGTTCTTTCATTCTCCTACTATATGCCTGGTGGTTCTAGAGGAGGCGAGTAGATAAACGAACCAGAAAGCATCGTCCGCTTAGAGGGGAGTTCTGTGCCTTATACAGGAAAATGTGATTGGAGTAATGGGTGTTGTGGAGGAGCAGACAAGATTCCACTGTCTTGCTGATCTTCATCAACCCCCTGCTGGATCCTCTGCCTGTGTCCCTAAGTCTCAGTTCATGAGTAAGTATTACCCACATCATGCAGAAACTGCCCAGATAATAAGAAAGCTCAAGAAAAACCAAAGCTGGTGGGAGAAGAAGCTGAAGTCATCGTTTTATAAGCAGACACACAATGCCCAAACCACCCCTCGTGTACTGATTCCTTCATTCTGCAGTAGCTTCCAACTCTGTAAGCACACATCTCAGGAGCTCAGGATTGACTGCTAGGAGATCCATACCAGATCAACTCATTCGCTGAAGATAGGAAACCCTATGACAGAGATGCGCAGGGTCAGTCATGTGCGCTCCGAGGATGAACTACCTAAGCACAAGTCTGGAGAGGAAATGAAGGTGCCCTATGAACGATACCTTATTATATTATGTCTTTGTGTCAAGATATATCAATATATTTATTATATCTTTTCTTTTTCAGTACTGGGTGCCAAACCCACCAGGGCCTCTGCACTGAGTTACATTGCTAGCCCTTTTGAATTTTTATTTGGAGACAGAATCTTGCTAAATCAATAATTTTCCCAAACTGGGTTAGAGTTTTTGATCCTCCTGCCTCAGCTTCCCAGAGTGTTGGAATTATAGTCATGTGCCACCATACTTACCTCCGAAGTTTTTTATCTTAAAGATAAGTAGAGTTAGAACCTCTCTTTCTACAGGGAGTTGAAGAAGAAGCTCCAGAGCAAAGGCACAAGATAGGTAAAAGTGCAAAGTGCTATGAACTGTGACCAGGGAGTGCTGGGGACAACGGAAGAGAGCTGGAGATGAAAACATCTATGCTGTGAAACTTAACATTGAAGTTTGCAACATTGCTGAAATGTTTTAATCAGGAGGCTCAGACTGATGTTTTTTTTTTTTTTTTTTTTTTCCTGTGCTGGAGATTAAACACAATGTCTTGTGTCAGCTAAGTAGGCACTCTACCACTGAGCTATGTCTTCAGCCCTCTGAGAATTTTTGAGACTGATACTTCTCTAACTTGCCCAGGCTGGGTTCAAACTCCCAGTCTTCCTGCCTCAGCCTCCTAAAGAGAGGGGCTGACAGACACAATGCTGTACCTCAAGAGATTCACACTACTGGCCACAATTCCATCTACAGACATGAGCGCTCCAGACCTCCAGAAGGAGCCAGGATGCCTAACTTGTGTCTCAGCTGCCCCCAAACTCCCACCAACACTATGACTTAGAAAAAAGGCCCTTATACAGCCAGAACTCATAATTTGTTTGTTTTAACCCCACCAGTCAAACCTAACTCAACCACAGAGTATCAAGATTAGACAGTTATTTACTTATTTGACACAGGCTCTCACTACACAGCTCAGACACAGAGTGATCCTCCTTTCCCAGCCTCCCCGGTGCTGGGATTACAGGCATGCACCACTATACCCGATTTCAATGGTCAGCACAGCGTTTCCAGGGTTCAGGGGTCTGCACAGCATGTGACACCAGGGATTGAACCCAGGTCCTTGTGAGACCACTAGGCTATCTCCTCAGCCCCAAGATTAGATTTTGATACACACTTCCATCTGGTGACTACCCCTCTGTCCTCCTTCCAGACTGTT